TTCCTTGTCAATATTTAAGTGATCAAGGGAACTAAGAAAGTCAGACACAATACAAGTGACTAAGGTGCTAACTAAAAAGGGCGTCGGCACACATAGAAAAGCTCTAGCTTATTTTGGGTTCTCTAAATCTTGACATAAAGCAAAGACTACATATATCATCCTGTATTGAAATAAGAATTCTAAACTCAGTAGTTAAGTACTGAAACGGCAGTTAGGCAAAAACCAGGAATTTCAACAGTATATATATATTTTTTCCCGTCTATTATGCGTGGGCGGCTGACTGGCTTTGTCTCGGGAGCTCCTAGTGCACTCTAGTCTAAGGGTGGTTCAGCCCTTGCTTGTTCATACTCAACTATACTCAAATAAAGTAGGATGGAAGAGCTTTTACCTCAAAATTCCAATCTCCATACAAATTTGGATCACTTTTGTTGCTCCAAACGTAAGCTTGAACTAACAAGTTGTCAGAACTATCCTGGAAAAAAATTGGTTATAAAGTTCTTGAGACGAGGCATGCACTTATTAACAAAATCCATCTAACATTTCCCAAAGGTCATGAAAACTGTTAGCTCCAATCACAAAAAAAGCATCAAAATTGTAGGTTTTTTCTTTTAGCCTTCTAATTCTACCCAGCCTTTGCCAATCATCGTCTTCAATTTGATATTTGCATGCTATGATGTAACAGTAAACATCATGAGATTGTAAAGAATGCATTTGAGCTACCAACTTACCACCAAGGAGACCTCAACAGTGTTCCTCTCATACTCAACATCCTCAAATTCATCCAGAATGTGTAATTCAGGATCTGTGATGCCCAACAGGAGCTGCACAAGAACAAAACAAAGCACCCTCCTTTTCTTAATCAAACATTTACAATTAATTAATTTTATTAATTTATTAATTTATTTTTCATCTACAAATTGATCGGGGCTTAGGCCTTGCCTTGCCGGTAACTTTGTCATTCTCAACAGGTAGAATCGCCGGATAAACTCGTCCTTTGATGCTATACCTATGGCTACACATTTCACATCATCATCATCGTCAAATTTCACTTCCTTTTTCTCTTTCTTTTTTTGATAAATTATCAAAAACGACAACCAGAAAAAGCATTTGAGAGAGAGAGAGAGAGAGAGAGAGAGAGACTGACTAGCCATTGAGGATGGCAGGGGAAGATTGAGGGACGCGATTTAAGAGGACTCTGCAAACGTCCTCCGCCATGAGGCTGCCGTACACGAACACCTTGTGAAGGCTCTGAGACTGAGCCATCGCCACTAAGCTCACTGCACTCATCTTTCTCTCTCTCTAGACTGGTGACTCTCTCTCTCTCTCTCTCTCTCTCTTACTATTTCTCTCTGGAAATTCTTATTGTAACCATACGACGTGTTGTTTGGTGGTCGCTTTTTGAGGCCATGTCTTCTCCAATTCGTTGGAAACGAAACAATCACTACACGACACCTATCTGATGATTTTTACAATTTTTTTTTTTTTTTGGGGTACTTTTTAAATGCCTATCAGAATAATTACGATTGCTTCAATGATTGCTGATGATGTTGTATATGTTATGAAGAAAAATCTGAGCTTAAGTTTATTTTTTCGAATATTTTGCATTTGTTTATCAGAAATAAAATATATTTTTCAAAAATAGAAATTTCTTCCGAGTGTCGAATCATACTGTAGAAAAAGTTAAAATCTTGATAAGGAATTGAGACAAAAGGAAACATGCACAAGCCACAATAATTAGAATCTAAGCATTTGTAGATTGAACCAAACATACAACAACTAAATCACAAAAGATGAGCAAATCTCCTAAGATGGAGTTGAACACCCTATTCCTCATTGTAAACAAGACTTTGGAGTTAAAGAAAAACTAATAAACAGTTGCCAGACTCCTATCAGTAGAGCAAGATCCTCATTGTATGTTCATAGGCTCGGGACTCGCGGTGTTCAAGATATCCAACAACGAATTCTGAGGCTCCAACTCCTCGTGCCAGAGTGGAAGCTTGTCACCAGGGTAGTAGTTTCGGGTCACTCCCTCAGAATTTATCTGCAAAAGCACACAAACAAAACTCAGCCAATCTATGGTCATGTATGGTGCAAACAAAAGTGCGATAGGATTGCTTAGTCATGATTAGAGTTGAGGGAAAGAAAAACTTACAACTACAGTGCGGACAACACCCCCACTGGCACCATCTCGTGCAATGGCGAGAGACACGGCTTTGACCACTAATTGCTGCAAAAATGCCACCAAAGAGCAGTTAACAACAAACTAAGAGAAACTTCTCATAAAAATAGCATAACAATCCCTTTTTCAAGGGTCAAAGCTCCCTCGAGATTGTAGCATTTATCAATGTAAAGTACTGTCCAAGTCAAGTTCAACGGTCTAAAACTTTCTATGACAAATTTGTTCCAAGGCAGTTACAAAACCTTTCTACCTGCAAACATCAACAGATACATACCTCTGCTTCATCTTTGGTCATTCCTTCTTTCCATGCTTGATCGAAAAATCCATACAAGTAACTGGACCCAGACCCTATAAGACAAAAAGTATGTTAATCCCAAACCCCCAGATGGGCAAAACTATAGCCTGAACCTCCTTGTGAAGGTAAAATCACATAAGAAATTTTCCAAAAATAAATTTCAAGTTGAAACCAAAACATATTGGAAATCAATCCTCGTCATGTGTAGATAAGTAGGATATGATATCTGAACATAGCCTTTTCTTTGGGCAGTGAATACAAGTCGTTGATCCCTCAAATTCTATTCATTAACCACAAAGATGAATTCTTGGCATGTACTTGGGCCGCATCCAACATTACCAACCAGTTGCAAACAACTAAATCCAATTTGATGATAATCTATAAAATATCATAGAATACTTCCAATCCGATTCCACTAAATATCCTATTTCAACCAAACAAATACTAGGAAATTCTTCTTCGTACAAGCAATGAAATTTGCATCCCATATAACATACAGAAACGTGTAAAACGTGCACCATAACCTAACCCCAAGGGTGAAACGAAGGTTTGACAATTAAGTTAGAAATACTCCAACATAGCATACCTCCAATGGTAAAGGGCAGCTCTAGCAGTGTGCCACCAAGAGGAATTCCATAAATCTTACCGCCTTCGTACTTGTCCCACCCACCAACAATCAACCCAGTTTCTAGCATATTCTGCCATGTCCAAAACATGATGTCAAAAACACAATCATTTATTATTAAACTACAATTGAACTGATACTATGATACCATAAATGAGAAACTCGAAAAACCCAACCTTGTTGCCATAAGACAGTAGCCTGACGAGGTTGGCACAAACTTTGACAGTTGCAGGCTCCCCAAGCTGTATGCTGTGCAAACACAATCATATAACAAACCCATTAGATACCCAACGTGAGCTATGAATCATAAAATAGGAAAAACAAGAGCAACAAAGAGGCAAAGACTGACGTGTGTTGATGAAGGAAGTAGCGCACATAGTCAGAAACAACCTGAGAATCCGCAGCCTGCAAATTGCAAATGGGTAAATGCTCAAATGATCGAAAAATCAAGAAAATGAAGAAATGAAATGAAAACAGTAAAATTGATGAGATTGATACCGATCCAGAGCGACACACGTAGACATTATCGGTGAGCTGGGTGATTTTATCGGAGGCACGGTTGGCCACATACACTCCTACACGAATAAAAGAGTGATTTCGATGAGTGTTGAAAGCACAAAAGCTGATTAGGGTTTAGGGGAAGGAAAGGGAAGAGAGAATGAGGAGGCTCACCAGTGCTGGTTCGAGAGTCGGCACCGAGAACGACGCCGCCGTTGTAAGTGACGCCGATGATGGTGGTACCCATGGAGTGAGGAGCGTTAAGATCCATATCCGAAGCCATTAACGAGAATTGGGAAGGAAGGAATGAGAAGGTTGGGTTTTTCTTTTTCAGAGGAATTGAATTTGCAGTGAGGAGAGAGAGGGGTTTTGGTATTGGTTTGTATTTGTTAAGCTTGGCTTTCTGCACAAGTTGTTTACTTTGTAATGTTTTGTAGTTTTTGGGTCATCTGGTCCAACACTAAAATTGTCATATTGTATGATCCAATCCAAGTCGATGTTTGGGTCCAATGCTGGGCTTTCTTTTCTTTTTAATTATAAAAAGTGCTGGGTTTTTATCAAGTGAAAATGGGTCTATTTATTATCACATTGCGAAATTTATTTAGTCCATCTATTTTCAATTGTTCAATTTGATTTATGTGTATCGAGAACATTGGCCAAATGTCTCAATAAAAGGACTAAATTGCCCAGACTGAAGATACGTTAATCTTTCTTTATATATATATATATATGTATATGATATTCTAATTGAAGATACATTAACCCATTTATTTTATACAAACGATATTCTATTTTAATCTAATTTTCTTGAGTTAAACTTAATTTATCTTTTAAACTACGGGGAAAGGGGATTCGAATGTGCTTAGTGAATAGCACATCCCACTATAGTCAACTTAGCTAAAACCCATATTTGCAAACATCAACCAACAGGAATTCTATAGTGAGAGTTTCTATATGGTCCTTAAATGATGTTCTATATCTTAACCGTTGTATGAAATTGATTAGCATAATTCAACAATTAAGATATAAAACATCACCTAAGGACTATAGATAAGGCATCACTACAGAATGACTCCATCAACCAAATTAGTTAAAATGGTACAACATGGGACCGTTTTGGTATGTATCTTTTTTTGTTTTGTCGACAATGAGATATTGTAAATTAATCTACGAAGAGGGAACTTCAAGCCCAACTGCACGAGGGTGGACATATTGCGCTGACCGAACTTACCAAACTCTTTTATTTTAATTTATTATACATGTGGAAAGACTAACGTACCCAGATTGAATAAAGGGTCAAGACATTTATAAGGTCCCAAAAAAATAATTAGGATAAGTCATTTTGAAAATGAGGTGGAAGTGAGAATAGAGGTGGTAGAGATTGAATTTAAGAATCACTCGGATAAAATAATATTGTAAAATTCAAATATGTATCAAAAGTGCAAAGCCCACTATTGGGAGTGTTACATCCCTCCATCATCCTCGCATATTCCACACATACAAACTTATCAAAGACTAGAAATTGGAAACATTCTTTAAATTAAAATGACTGTAAACGTTACATCCGACATAGTTTTCGTAAAGGATAAAAGAATGGAAAAAGAAGAGGTTAGTTATCATCCTCATATTCATTCCTAACCAACCAAACCATGTGTTTTTGCCGCACTCAAACCTAATCTCTTCTACGATGCTAGAAAGCGTGACCCCTCTGCTAAGCAGGCCGCTGAAATAAGCTTACCAAAAACAAAGAAGAAAAAAAGGACATCTGTCTTCTCTCCTCGTGGGAGTTGAGGCAAAAGGAAAGGAAAGTAAAACTAGGGGTAGGGATATATGGGTCATCAATCTTCTTTCTGTTATCGTTGTCTTGTGTTCAAATGTTACGAGTCCATGGCGATGGCTTCGGGAAGTGGATGCAGTTGAAGGGCTGGGATGTGGGACTTGAGTGGGAGGTGGGGTGGACCAGCCAATTTCTTCTCCTTCGGAATTCCTTTCCCCACAATTCCAAGTACCTTCCTCACCTCATTTGCAAGCTCAATCACATAGTCATCTTCATGGCCTGTTCATGTTACAAATTCTTCAATTTAGTCACATATTTAATGAAGAATTAAGAAAAGCTTGTCGTGGTCTTCATGCTGAAGGATTTGTGGTACTGTATGAAAAAGATTGCTCACCAATATCAAACATAGCCTTCTCCAATCGAAAGAGATAGTCTCTATTGTTTCCGCAGGGCCCAAATGCAGTGGCGATTTGCCTGTAGAAAAATACTCGGTCATCAGGGAGTGCCATTGAGGGAAAATAACTTTATCACACAAATAATTACACCCACCATCGCACCACCAAAACAAGAAAAGAAGAATTGCAATCTATATTACCTTGCCATATCCTCCAATGGAGCAGGACCCAGATAATACTTGTTTGATTCCTTGTCTCGAGTGGATGTGAAACTGCAATATCAAGAACAGGTTAGGTTAGGAAAACATCCAGAAACAATTTTTGTAAACAAATTTGTAATGCGTTTTTGTTTCTTTCTTCTCTTACATTATGAAGCAATTTTACAAAGGATGAATTTAATGAGATGCGGGAATTGATGAATCTACAGCAAAATGACTTACACAATCACTCCTGTCACGGAAGGCTCAGACCCAGAGAAGTCCCCTTCCTGTACACCACAGAAAGCACATGTTATGACAAACAGTACAAAAATAATAATTAAAAATTCACAAATACTAAGAAAGCTGGCAGTTCCAACTTTCGGGCATGAAGGTAGAGTAATATTAAAACTAATCTTACCTTATAAAAGTTCACAAGGGTCTTTAAATCATATTCACATTCTCTCCTTTCCAAGTACTGCAAATGAGAAGCAAATCAATGTAACATTCCAATTAGATAAGACGTACATAAAATTTGCAACTCGTAGTAAAAGAGGATAAGAAGTATGTCTATTAGATAAGTAGGGTATGACTGCCCATGTCAAATTTATCTCAGGTGAACACTCTCAACAGAAAAATATATCACAACAATGATAAATTTTGCTTTTGAAGAAGCATACCTCCATTGCCAGTTTTTCCCTTTCAGGCCCTCCGCGTACAGAATAAGCAGCACCCCACTGTTGGAAGAATTTGAAGGTAAGAAAGAAAGAACATTTGATAACAAAAGCTGAAGCATTATTCCGACGCTATCAGAACCAACGAATATGAATCATGAAGGGTAATAGTCTAAGATGTTACTTACGCAAATAGCTCCTTTTTGGTACTCCAAAGAGCAAGTCCGAGCAGGGTGCTCAGGGGTACCTCTGTGATCAATGCATGCTTAACAAATGGAAAAGAAATGAACAGAATCAGTAGCAATATAATGACATAAAAGGGATTGAAAAGTACAAGTTATAACAATATGTACAATTTCTTCCTGAATACTAGTGAGACATACCAACATCAAAAACACGCCTGTAGTCCTTGATGTAACCCATCACTTTCTCGTCGTATTCAAAACCAGGGTTCCACACAAGTGAACCATATCCAAAAACCCAAAATACCATGGTTGTGTATAACTCCTGAGAAAGAACAATGGGAAAAAGGTCACAAACTGTGATAAAATAGTCTAAATAAGAACATTTTATAATAAACACGAACTTTCTATTACCAAGCGCGATGATGCCGTACTTTGTGAAAGTTATGTATATATTTAAAAATTAAAAAGCTTCAAGCTTTCTTCTTCTTTTAAGGAAAAAAAGTTGCCCAACTTTTCTAAATCAGCCAAACTAAGTGCAATGATGCAGATCAAGAGACTTGATTAAATATCTTTAAATCGTTGCTAATGTGGAAAGTTTTGGGTTTTTCATTCAATAAAATCTCAGAAAGACAAGGCAACCATAAATGCACTCGACATTTTAGGAGCTAGAAATTGACATTCACATTAATTGGAAACTCAAACGAAGAAAACACGAAGTTCAAAAAATTTCCATTTTCCCCCTTTTTCTCAGCATCCAAACAGAAGGTGCAGATCACGACACAAAATAAGAGTGGAAAAGGAGAAAACCACCGGCATTGTTATGCAACCAGATAAAATCGAAATTCACCCACAAAAAAAAACAGAGGGAACGAGAGCTTACAAAGAAGATGGCAGAAATTTCCCGATAAAAAAATGAGAGCAAGTGTTTGGAGAAGCCCTGGTGATCTGATGGAGAAAGTGAGAAATGACGACAAAGAGAGAAACGAAAAGAGGGGAAGCTAAACGCGACTAGGGTTTAGCTTCAGAATTAGGGCTTTTTCTTCTTCTTCGTTTGTTTCTCTCTCTCTCTTTCTCTCTCTCTGGTCTCTCTTCGCCTTCTCTTTATTTGTTTTGGCTTCGTGTCGGTGTGAGGAGCCAGAGGCGAGAGCGCTTTTATAGGCCTTCGAAGCAGAGGAAACAGAAGCCCGCGTGGCCTGCTGGAAAGCCTGCTTTAGACAACTAGCTGATGTATGTGGCATGAATTTTATATCATGTGCATCTATCACATCATGATACATGCCGAGTAGCTTTTTTTGGTGCAAATTTTTATTTTTATTTCCATTTTATGAGCATAATTATTTTTGTTATATTATTGGAATACTTTTTCTTTTTTTTTCAACTATAAAATTTTGAGAGCAATCTAAAAATAATAAAATCCCAAATTTTTAGCATAAATATTTTTGTTAAAAAAAGTATTAATAAAAATGATAATGTAAAAGATTTGGTCCAGAAAAAAAAAACACATTGGAATATCTAGATGGGAGTCAAATCTGAGGGGGAGACAAATTCTAGGTGTCAAAGTACCAAGATTTGGATCCAAGGGTATAAGTCAAATTTGTTGACTGATTAAAGAACTAATATGATACTTAAAGTGGGTTTTGTTCCATTCACTTTGCTTATAGAAAGGTCAATAATGGCTTACTGAGAATAGTTTGAAAGAGTCAAAAGTTATAGATTTGTTAGTTTATGTTTAATTTAACAAAATTCAAAGTTAACCAAAACTCATTATATTTATTCTTTCACCATATATAGGTATAACTTTCAAGTTTCTTTTAATATTTTAGGATGAATATTTTCCGATACATTATTATGTAAACGAAAACACAAATGTGGAAATTCTGCTACCACAAAATCGTATGAAATTGTAAGAATCATTTGTTGTCAATTCACAATCTCATCTTATCTTATATTCCTTATTTTGCATGATGACGAATATGTTAACTTGTGTGGTTACAATATACTTCACATTTTGTAAGGAAAAATAATAACAATCAAAGATTAGCTCATAAATAGATTTGTTGCTATATATTCTAATTATTATATATATATAAAGCAAAAGGCAAAAAATTGTAAAACATTCAAAATACCAGCAAATGCCCTTAGTTAATTCAAATATTAAGAATTGAAATTATTAATTAAATGAGGATAATATGGTAAATTCACATTTTTTTCATATTAAAAAAATTAAAATTAAAAACAAAATCAAATACTAAGCCCTACTTTTAAGAAACATAACTACTAATGTTATATTTTCTTAATTCTAAAAATAAAATAAAAAAGAAAACCAATTGGCAAGTTTAAATTAAAACACAATTTTAGAAGAAATTAAAACTTTGATTACTTGAAATAAGTAAAACTTGATTACATTATTTATTACCAAAATTATGTGTTAGTGACAAAACTAGATTCATACCATACATGTCCATCTCATCTAATCATCATGTATGTCTACATACATCATGGTGGTTGGATTTGCTGAAACGTAAAACTAAAATTTCAAAAAGAACAAAATTGGTCAGGTGCATTGAACCTGGACAGGTTTTTTTACAGCTGTGATCGTTTTCCGCGTTGCGATCAAATTCAAATTAGTGCTTTTATTGCCAAACGGCGTGTACCGTGTCACTAAAGTCTACAAGACAGAGACCTAATTTGGCTCAATGAACCTGGACGCTAATCCGGCACCAATCCAAACCCACAACTAGTCTCGGTAGGTTTCTAGGCAAACCCCGAATCCAAGCACCCCGTGACTTTGATTCCTCTGTCTCTTCGATTACGGTGAAGATTCCAAATTCCAAATTCCAAATTCCAAATTACAAGTTTCAATTTCTCTCTCCAAATTTGAGGAGGAATTTGGTGCTTTCTTTGCAGGACTACAAGAAGGAGTGGAAGATGAAAGGGATTTCAAATATGGGAAAAATATCCAGAACCCCAACTCAATGGAGCCAAACAAGCCACAATTTGAGGAACTTTGTAGGGTTTCTATCAATGAGTGGATAATGGGTTATAAATGATAGGAGGTGGGGAAGTTTTGAAGGGTTTCTGACTATGTTTGCAACTGTCTTTTTCATTTTATGCAATTGAAAAGGTAATTGAAAATGATATGTGAAATTGATCGTTGTACTAAGTTGTCGGTTACAATTATAATTGCGTGTAAATGTGCGAATATATATGCAACTGCACATGTATTGAGCAACTTAGTACAAAAGAAGTCGTATTGAGCAATTTGGTAAAAAAGAAATCGGGTTGAATAACTTATTTAAATTATTATTTGTATGATACTGAAATCGTAATTGAATAATGTCATCTAAATGAAATGGTTAAACCATTTACATCTACTTTTCTTTCTTTATTTTTTTGGTGAGTCATGATTGATGATGATGCCTACTTTTATTTATTAGATACAAGGGATTACAGCAATGAATTCGCTAAAATGTCAACTATGAATAAGGGATTTAGGCAGCAGGCCAACAAACTGTACAGGCAATTTAATAAATTAATCCATAAAATACCGTCGGTCCAATTGAAAAGGTAGAGGCCTGGGTTTATAATACGGAACGCGTGCCGTAGAGTTAAAGTCCACCTTTCATCCCCACCGTCCATTTAGTCTAACCTTTACCAGTAGATTTGCTTCCCAGTTTCTGTCATTTTACACAATTTTTTAATTAGGAAAACGAGACTTTTATTAAATACTATAATGGGTTACGTTCAGATCGTTAAATAAAGACCAAGATCAGCTTTTCTATGCCCAACTTGTGAGAAGTGGCAAATTGATATGAATGAATGATTATTGACCAATTCCTTAGTTGTAGTGATTGTGAAAGGTTTGCTTTAGGCTCTTTGTGCGGGTGAAACGATTGTTAGTTGTTAATTATGTGTATGAATTCATATATAATAACAATTATTCATATGTATATGAATACCCATCATGAACATTTACCTCAAAATTCATATCATTTTACACTTCTTCTAATTAACTTACGACTTTAAACTCTTAAAAGAAAAAAAGATAGCGTATTTTACCATTCTCATTTATCCATCGACAATCAAAACTAATCATTTATAATTTTCCTTACACACTCGCGTGTGGAATGTATGAGAGGGGAACATAGGATTGCCAAAATCATTACTCATACAAACAAGAGTGGAGCTGGGTGTGGCTTGAGGTTGTCATGGATCCCCAACCTTCACATAGATCATCCATCCTTTAACATAATAATTCACATAAATTGAAAATTTTATGCTAATTGACCCCTCATATGTACCAGTTTAGCTTAGCCATTACATGCAAAAATTTACAACGATAAAAGTCGTATAACATTTATGCGTCCCATGTCAAGAGCCACAAGAGTTCCTTTGAGGTCTTTATAAGACATACTCTTGGAAATAGAATAGTGTGGACAAACTATGCAAGTGGCCCAATTGAGTGGCATGTGGGTATGGCCTAGTACTAGGACATTGATTTAGATAGTTGTATCTTGGTGGAGCAAACACATGCAGAATTAGAAGCACTGAGTATGGGTGAAATTTTGTTTCAAGGACATTGCAATTCTACAAGCCTCTATATGCAAGAACAGTCATTTTTAATTTACTACCATATTTAATTTCATTATTCTATTTGTTATTTAATTAAATTATTAGAATAATATTGATTGTTGTTACTCCAACATGTTTCACTCGAGAGAATGAGTTAGATCAAAGGCAAAAATTCCCACAAAAAAAGAAGAAGAAAAAATTGAACTCTCACATTGATTTACTTTGAAATTTCTTTGTCTTCAATATTCGCCATGGATATGTTGAACCTAGCCAATTAATATCAATAAAGTATATACTAATGCAACTAGGAGGGTACTTTAAAAAATAAAAAAAATAAAAAAAAAGTACGCCCGTGTGGCTGTACTACGGTATTTTTTTTATAAAATAAAAAAAATACGGCCGTATGGCTGTACTACGGTATTTTTTTATTATAAAAAAATAGTATAGCCGCGCGGCTTTACGTTGTTTGACATATGGGTTCCTTTTTTTCTTCCTAAATTGTATCGTTGCTAGGCTGTACCCGAGATTCTTTTTTATTTTTTTATTTAAGAAATAGTATACTGGCGCAACTTTGCTACGGTGTTTTTAAAATAATAGCATGGTTTCCACACGTGGGCACCTAGCCGCTAAGCAGGTCCTCTTTTTCTATATTATAAATAGTATAGCCGTCCCGCTATACCCGGGATTTTTTATTTTTTAAAAATCGTATAGCCGTGCGGCTGTACTACTTTTTAAATTAAAAAAGGGAGTTTCACTAAAACACCCAAAATGGAAGTTGAAATTATAAAAAAAATCCAACACCCAAAACACTTTATAAACACACCCAAAACCAATCATTACACACACTCAAAACCCATTTATAAACACACCCAAAAAGTTGACTTTGGAGTTGATTTTGGGTGTGTTTCTATGTTTAAATAGTGTTTGAGTTTTTTTATAAATACATGTCTAGGATTGGGTTTATTTATAAATTTGTATTAAAAAAAACTCTATTTTTAAAAATAGTATAGCCGTGCGGCTATATGCGGGATTTTTTATAGTAGAGCCGCACGGCTGTACCACTATTTTTTTATTTAAAAATAGTATAGCCGTGCGGCTATACGTGGGAATTTTTTTATTTTTATTTTTAAAAATAGTATAGCCGTGCAACGATACTCAAGTGTTGTTTTTTATTTTTATTTTTCCAAAATAGTATAGTTGCTCGGTGTTGAGGCCCAAAAAATTCATGGTCGGACCTGAATAAATTATCGGCCCAAAATGACACTCTATCAAGGAAAGACGTAAAACGGAGTACACAAAAACCCGCCACATGCGAGTTGCAATCCACATGCCATGCTAAATAAATAATTCGTCATGCTAGAATATATCGGCCCTGCAAATCCATGCTAATTA